TAATGCTAACTACAGAGAACAGGGAAACATGTTCACATAAATTATCCAGAAAGAAAAATGTTCACAGAAATTTCTTCACTAAAAGAATCCAAAAACTTCATGATTAAGCAGGCATAGTCTTTATGAACATCAAAACAATACTGTAAAAATATCAGCTACACATAAACTTTAAAAAATCCCATTTACTGTCCTGAAGTAGTGCCCTTTAAATCCACTGTTCTGCCTTCTTATAGTAAAACCTATGAAAAAGTATGAAAAATAACTTAAATGCACTCCAGCCATATTTAATTTATTTTATCTGACTTTTCTTGAAGGTGGCTGCCTATCTTACGTTTGTCAATCTTATTTCAGTAACGATTAATCGGTTATTCTAACGATTAATCGCATGTAAATACATTAAAAGATGCCGATATGTAAATAATTCAGTTCTTTTTTAAAATAAGAAAAACATTTCACTGCCTAAAATGCAATAGCAGCTTTCCTTTAGTGACCGCTTCATAATTTCTATGATGCATCAACATGATTTTCTTGGAAAACCAAAACATTTTTGCAAAGTTTTTACTGCTCTGCGTGTGCCGTTTTTTTCCCTTTTTTCCAGTAAATGGCTTTCTTAGAGTCTGCGCACTCCAGTTCATGATTTACTGATTCCCAAATTAGTTTACAATTATTTCAGTAATTAATTGATCACTAAATTGAATTGATTAATCACGATTAATCGTTTCAGCCCAAGCAGGAACAGACGGAAACAACAGAAAACAGATACAAGATAAACATAAAAACCTTAAAACTTTTAAAGCTGCATGTTGTGAGTAAGATTTCTTTGAAAAAATAGATTTTTTGCACAGGCTGAATTACTGCTCTGTGTGTTGTTCTTTAAGCAAATTGTCTTTTTTAGAACCTGTGTACTCCAGTCAGCAATTACTCAATTACTATATTAGTTTGATATTATTTCGATAAGTGAGTAAATGTTTCATCTGTAGCAGGACAGGGCAAAAGAAAAATTAAAACAATTTATATAAAAATCTCTCAAAAATAAATAGAAACACCTTGAAAGTTTTAAAGCTGCAGGTTTTGACCACAATTTGCTTGCAAAACATTTATTTTATTTATTTCTTTTACAGTTTTGGCTTAATTAATTGCTTCCCAGATTATTGTTTTTGCAGCAAATGGCAAATTTTTTAGTCTGTACACTCCAGTTAACGATTAATTGATCACTAAATTAGTTGGCAATTATTTTGATAATCGATTAGTCACGATTAATCGTTTCAGCCATAGCAGAAACGGATAGAGACGACAGAAAACAGATTAAAAAATGCAACAATTTATACAAAAATCTCTCAAACAGGAAAAACCCTGAAAGCTTTAAAGCTGCATGTTTTGAACACGGTTTTCTTGAAAAGTCAGCTCTTTAAGCAAACTGACCAGCAATGACAGAATTTGTTGCTACTAAAAACTCTTCTACTTTTTATTTGGCAACTTTTCTCCCTCCACTTTATTCTGCACCCCTCCTGAAAACCCCATTTAACCGCCTGTTAATATTATTCCTATATGTTCAGCTTACGAGGCAGAATCCCTCGGCGAGATAACGGCAAACGGCATCGGCATGCCGGAGTCCTTTAAGAAACGACTCTCAGATTGCCAGATGCAGCGTGCAGGCGGGCTTGTTGGACAAACCTAAATGCTATCTACTCTTGGCGAGGCTGTGATAAGGCGCAGGCGTCCGCTCTTTGAAACGGGAAGATAAACAACCCCCCAACCCCCCTCGGGAGCGCGGAGGAGATTCTATGGGCCGGACCCCCGAACCGCCAACAAATCCCAACCTTTAATAGAACCGCTGGAGGAGCCAGGCGACACTGCGGTGGGCTCACACACACACACACACACACACACAAAAAAAACCCTGCGAGGAAGAATGAAAGTGTGTGTCACTTTTCATTTACCTGGATGTTGTGGCTGCTGCGTGTGGAGGGAAGATTTGTAGCTAGAATAGAGACGCGAACAGGCTGATGGAAGATTTGGGAAGCCACTTTGCAGCCTTGATTGGAAGCTGTGCACTCCGGAAAATTAACGGATGTTGTCCATCCGGAGATTTGACAAATGAATGCAGCAGATTTGATCACCTGGTGGGGTTCAGGTAAATCAGATAAAGTTAAAGGGCGAGGAGGCGCGAGTTTGACCAAAGCTCCACTTTACACACACAGTCTGATTCAGACCACATTTAGGACTCCTACACTTCAAAAACACCAAGTATTTTTATCTTATTTATATCGTAAACGTCTTATCTCACTGAAAAGGAAAGAAAGTTATCTCACAGGTATATGGGAGCTTCCTTTAAGTTAATAACTCCTTAATATCAACAAAAAGTACTAGTTTCTCTGGCAGAAAATAATCTGCCAGATTAAATAACCTGTCGGTGGAACCACCACGTTTTAAAATCAATATTAAGAGATTATTTACTTAAAACCAGCTCCTATATACTGAATAAACATTAGGCTCCAGGTTATGTGATTTTGGAAAAACTAAATCTTACAAAATATTTTGGTCCAGTTTCTAAAGCAGATGTCTTTATACATTTGAAATGAGACAAAAGTAAATTACAAGTAACTTTGCAACAAGTTATGCATTTAATTCCTTAATACTGATGAAAAGGTTCTAGTTCAACCGGCAGATTATTTAATTTACAACCTGGGAAAAATGTCTCGTTATAATTTAAACTGTAAAGGAACCAAACGTAAACGGACAAAAAGGTGATCAGAAATAGGAAAAAACTTCAACCTTATAATGTGAAATAGTTAAAAATGGTCCAACTTAATGCAAAAATATTTCAAGTGATAAATAATCTGGATTTGGTCTCAACTATTTTGAGGTCAACTGAACTCAAACAAACAAAAAAAAAATTCACTTATGGGAAAAACGTATTAAGATTTAAATAATCTTCCTGTAGAAGTAGCACTTTTTGATCAATATTAAAGGATTATTTACTTAAACTTTCAGAAAATGTTCTTGTATGTTAATTTTGTCTTTAACTGAGATATTTGCACTAGAAACTGAACCAAAAATACTTTCAGATTTTGTGTTTTTGCAGTGATGAATGTTCAGTTTGACCTCAGAATCATTCACCTTCACAATATTTGGTCAGCTGGGATTTAGAAACTAGACCAAAATTAGGGATTAGTTTCTAGAACAAATATCTTGGCAAAACAAAAAATAAGACAAAACTTACTTATAAGTAACTTTTCAGCAAATATAGCAGCTCGTTTTTTATAAATAATTCATTAATTTTAAATTAAAAAAACCTACTAGTTCCACTTGCAGATTATTTCACTTATAACAAAACATTTTTCTCACGTTTTCAGTGAAATAATTTGCACATTAAGTAATTATTTAGTCAAAATAAGCTCATATTTTGTGCTAAAATGTCACTTGTAAGTTAGTTTTGTCTGATTTCAAGTGAACCAAGATATTTCCACTAGAATCTACTTGGTAAAATGTTGCGTTTTTGCAGTGTAGATGTCCTGAGAAGCTAAAATTCATTCAATCTTTTATGATACGATAAGAAGGAAGTTAAACACTCTTAAATATTTTTTTTTTCTGCTGGCCGCTTCGGGGAAACGATCATTTTCCACCGAATTTAACCTCCATGTCTCGGCCTCCTGTCGTCCAGATGATGGATCAAATGGGGGCGTTTGACCCCCGCCGAGAGTTTCAGGTGATATCAAAGCGATACCTGAGGGGGGGGTCAGAGATGATGACAAATCAGGAAGTGTGTCGAGACATCACAGGCAGCTGGGGATGAGTCGAGCGTCGTTTCGCCGCCGCGGCGCGTTAAGAGGCCAGGGCACGATTACCCACCGTGACTTCAGAGGAGGATAAATACCGAGCGCGGACAGACTGCGGGATATTTAAGGAGAAGAAGAAGAAGAAACCCTGGCCACTAGTTCTCCAACTTACCCAGAGGAAAAACGCATAATCATATTATTTCACACACGACTTGGTTCAAAGGCGGCCAAAATAAGTTTGCGAGGTTCCCATGGATCTGTCAATCTGTTGAAGGAGCTCCAGGCGAAAGCTTAGGATGCAGCAAGTACGAAACAATTATGATCATCCCATTAAAGCATGGCAAAGCAATTTGGCAGCCCAGTCTGTAGAAAAAAAACACACAAAAAAAAACACACACTCTCCTGTCAAGTGATGCTCGGAAATCATCATAAGAAATTATCCCAGCTCTTATAATTAATGTTTGGTTTTGGTTTGTTATGACAGAAGGAGAAACAGATGATAGGGAACGCCGCTGCTGTTGGTGAAGTCGAGGAATTGTTTTTCCTTTAAAGCAGGATGGGCGCCATAAAATAAGAAAAGGAAGGAAATAAGAGGAGGAGGGGGGCGAAATGATTAGTGCGCTTAGTCAGCTGTGAAATTGAGTTTATGGTTTTCAAGACGGTGAATTCAATTCGATAATGGGTATTAAGTTGTAGGGAATAATTAATAGTAATTGACTTCTTTCCATCACTATGCAAATTAAACACAGATAACACCACAGGAGCTTTTTAAGGCCAGTCAAGTTTGTAGGGATTAAGTTTATGGAATATTTTCTGCTGGTGTCGGAGAGGGGAGTGGCTCCTGCTCCGCTTTGATTGCTTTGTTGACAGATTTATCAGCGGGTGAAGGGTTACCGTCTCTTCAGGGATTAAAGGAATTGGGTTGTCACAAACTGTCAAGGCATTGAGCTTGCAAGCATTCTGGTGTATTTGTCATAATGGGCTCAGGCTGTTCTCCTTCGCCCTGTCAGATATACTTTTTCCAAACCACATCTGCAAAATGGGAGAAACTGGGAAAAAAAGCGCTGGAGAAGATTTTCTTTCATTTAAAGTCCGCAACACTTCTAGTTTCTGCTGAAAACATCTGCTAAAGGAGTATTTCAACAGATAAAATTGCTGTAAATCTGAAAACGAAGAATGCAAATAGCAGAGAAGGTCAAATCAAAATGACATTTAACTCACCAGAGAGCTGAGTGACAGCAGTGCAGCGGCGGCCCACAGACATGTGCTCTTCATGTCCGCCGTTCGCCTCATTTCAGGGAGAAAGAAGAGAAAACCGGAGGAGAATCTCCTGCTGGATGAGCCACAATCAGCTGTCAAACTCAAGGAGTGAGGGAGGCGATGATCCAGGCGGGGGTCATCCAGGCATCAGCCGGGCAAACGGGAGGGCTTCTGCGGCACTGCGGTGACAACGGAGGCGTTTTCACGTCTGATTGTCGGCGTGGAGCGATGTTTTATACCGGGAGGGAGAGAGTTGGGGAGGACAGAGAGAGAAACAGAGTGGAAAAGAGGGAGGGAGCCTCACAGTATTGATTTTTGAGAGACAACTTTTCTTTTTGAATCACTGAGTGCTGACACCTAGTGGTGGTCAGCGGGAATGACCTCTGCTCGCTTCATCTGGGAACAATGATTTTAAATGACTCCATGTTTTATTCTTTATGCAGCTTTCAAGTTTATTTGTGTAGCAAATTTCAGCAACAAGGAAGTTCAATGACCGCATTTTAAGGCCATTCTGGACAGAAAAAAGGACATTTCTGCCAAAAACTAAAAAATTTAAGAAAAAACCTAAGTTTTAAAAGTCAAAAATTTGATAGAAACGAATCTAAAATTTTCAGATTAATCTTGTTTTAACTACAAAGAAACAAAAACTTTTCGAACCCAGAAATTTTCAAAATTTGCTAAAAATAAATCTGAAATTTTTATTTCAATCTCAGTAATTTTCCAGAAAAAAAAAAAAAAAAAAAGGAAATCTCTGAGCTCACAAAGTCAGAAAAATGTGCTGGAAAAATATCTGAAATACTGAAAATAATCTCAGAAATATGAGGGGAAAAAACGTAATTATTTTTAGAAACAACCACTTACTTTTCTCAGGTTGAAAAGTAAAAAAATCAGAGAAAAGTTTCAAAGGTCAAAAATTTTCGACTTTTGAAACTCAGCAGTTACCTTGTTTTTTTTCTTGAGCATTTCTGAAATTAATTTCAAAATTTCAGTTTTTTTGTCTTAAATTTTCTCCTTTTCTTTCCGTTTATAGTGACAAACATCAGTTTTTGTTCAGAGTGGAAACAGCGAAGCCACTCCAGGCTGATGTATCTCAAACCTTTAAGGAAACAATAAACATGTTCAGAAGAAAGTACAAAAATTTTACCTTTTGGCCAACATTTGCTGGAAAAACAAAAAACACGGTTTTGGCAACATGATGCTGTGGGGAAACGTTTGAGCAGGAACAGGAAAACTGATCAGGTGATGGAAAAATAAAATATTTTTCTGAAAATTTAAGTGAATTAATAAAATTCAAGCATTTTCAATCGATTATCTTTGGCCTTTTTGCATAAAATAAAAACAGTAAATAGTTTGAAGGATTTTTAGGAAACAGAATAAATCCTGGAAAACCTTCTGCAGTGAGGATGGATCTAATGCTCAGTTTGCCTCTGAACTGAAAAATGGAGGAAAGAGAAACTTCTAAATTATAACCTTGAGTGGATAAAATCATTAGACCCGGCAGAAAAGTCCGATAGCATCTTTTGTTCCCCGTCCAAGGAAAAGCCTGCATCTTTTATCTCCATCTGCTGGATGTAGAGCAGGTGGAGATGCAGGTTCTCCTAAAAATAAAAAACACACATTCATGGAAAATCACAAAAAACAAAAACATTATGACTTCTTAAAAGTTACTTTTTTCAAATTATGGATCCGTTTAATTTCAAAATCTGATATTTTTCTTCTAAAATGTTTAACGTGTGAAAAATATTCACCTTTAGCTCATTCAGTGATTTTTTATCACAAACCAAACAAAGCTGGAAGATTTTCGCTGGGATCTGGATCCATTTAGAACAGATCTGCTTCTGCAACACTGAGGCTTCATCTGAGATCTGCTGCTCTTTACGATGCAATTAATCACGATTATTTTGAGAAAAATGTTTAATGCAAAAAAGTTGGTGGATTTATTGAAGTTGTGTTTATTCCAGCAGCAGAGCGACGTTTATTTATGCACAAAACTCTGGGAATATTTCACTAATGTTGAAAAAACAATCGTATTTACATTAAATTATTTACATTAAAAAAGAAACAATTGGGAGAAAAAAATTCAGTTTTCAGTCAGTTAGTAGTTAAACAATAACTTAATACATTTTTTGAAAATATTGTCACTTGTTGGGTTTTCATTGGGTTTATGTACCCAAAAACCAAAATTAACCAAAGTATGAAAATACTAAAACTACTCATAAGTAATAAAAACTAAATGAATTAGAAAAACTAAAACTTAAACGCTGCTAAAACAAAATCTTACCAATTATTTTTGGTCCAGTTTATGCAAATATCTCAGTACACCTGAAATAAGACACAACTAACTTAGAAGTAACTTTTTAGCGAGACGTAGGAATTTATTTTAAATAATTCTTTAATACTGATGAAGTACCAGCTCCACTGGAAGGTAACTTAACGTGGGAAAAATGTTATAAGTGAAATAATCTAATAGAACTAGTCATTTTTAATTGATATTAAAGAATCGTTTAGGTAAAACAAGCTCCTATGTTGCTGAAAAGTACGTTTTGTTTTATTTCAACTATACTAAAATATTTGCACTAAAAACTAGACAAAAATAACAGGCAAGATTTGTTTTTGCAGTGTAGCCCTCAACACAAGATTTTCTGTCATTGCACTGCCTTAATAAGCATAACTTCCAAATATAAAAATGTACTAACGTTCATAAAGAGGTAAAATCTGTGCAGATTGTCAGTAAATGTAACAGGAGTGCAGTGAAATCTGAGCTGGTAGTTAGTTTGTAAAATGATGCAGCTCTGCTTTGGTCCAAATGTGCTGCAGAGAAATAAACTTTAACTTTTGCTGCAGGACAGCGACACCTAGTGGCTGAGCTGTAAATCAGACCTTTGCTGGTTCACTTTACAACGAGGCTCCCATCATAGACGGCTGCTAAATAGTAAATTATATTAATTCATCTCTAAACACCGTTTATTATGCATTAACTACAGCTGAGAAGGAAACTATAGATTAAAAACTTAATTTTAGAAATGCTTATTGTTCTTACAGAGTAGTAAGAAATGTCTACTGTAACACCTTTAGATGCAACGCCGGTATATTTGTCTCCTTTGCACCCTTAATTAATGCATAACAAACTGTTATTAATGGCTTATAAACATCTCTATGACCTATTTAGTCGTGTTGTAAAGTGTTGCAAACTGGTGAGACTTCAGAAACGACTCCATCACAATAAGTTTGTGTTTGCAGCCGAGTCCGCGTTTATTTTCAGTAATTCTTTCCATATATGAACAACCTGTACAAAACAACCAGTTCTTCGAGTTTCTCTTTTTCTTCCCCTCTGATTATTTTTTTTTTGTTTTCTTGGTCACAACATACAACTTGCATCATAGTAACAACAATCAGCAATATCATACACCCACTTCGCAATATTCAAACTAACATTTTCTGTGCGATACAAAATAAATTTACACATACTTTTGATTTTTTTTCTCCAAAAAATAAAAAAGTCATTATTTACAAATTTCACGAAAAAAAGTAAACATTCTCCACACCAGTTTGCTTTTACACTGAAGTCAGAGGCATATTCTTATTAACATATTGTATAGTTCATCTGTACAGTGTATTTTATTTATATGTATATATATATATATATGTATATTATCTCATTGTAGTGAGACTGGAGCATTTATAATAACACTGTTATTACATGAGAGTTGGTTTGTTTAGTTTTTTTGTCTGCTTCTTCTGTTGTGTTTAATATTTGCCAGATCAAATACTAAGAGCAGTAGATTGGTTACCAGTAAGAGCAGTAGATTGGTTACCAGTAAGAGCGGTTACTAGTAAGAGCGGTTACCAGTAAGAGCAGTAGATTGGTTACCAGTAAGGCAGAAATGATGTTTGCATGACATGAATGGCTTCAGTTTCTCTCCAGGACACGTTTCAGTTCAGCTAAACCGCAAGAAAATTAATTTATTCAATTTATAAAATGCTCATACTTACATCTGGGGAAAAAAAAAAAAAAAAAAAAACCCGACGAAATCTACAAACCACAAAAAGATTTACTTTTACTACAACCAAAAAAACCCCAAAAAAATCTGAGAAATGAAACCTATACAGATATTTACTGGTGGGTCTCTCCGGTTGTTTCCCATCCGTTGTGTTTGTGGAAGAGGCAGTGTTTTATGGCAATAAAAGGTAGAAGTCACGTGTGCATATCATGCTGCACTAATATAGTGCAATGTAGCGCCTGAAACAAAGCGAGGGTGAAGGCCGCCGATCAGTTTATCCCACAAACAGGCCTCTGAATCAAGCAGAAATAAAAGACTGGGGAAAAAAAGGAGATTTGAGTCAAAACCCAGCTGAGGATTGAGGGAAGAAAAAGGAATCCAAACCTTTTGATGGAGATTTTCCTCTCCCTCCTCCTCCTCCTCTTCCTCCTCTTCCCTGCGGTGACTTTTGGCAACATACAAACCGTCAGAGCGTCCAAAGCCTCCAGCTAGTCAGCGTTTTCAGGAAAGCGCGGGGGTGAAAGAGTTGGAGACTCTCAGTTTAAAAATAAAAGGCATTTCATTGAGCAAACTGGAGGTCATGAAGGTTCTGGTTAAGGAAAATCAAATCGGAATAAGTGAGTCCATTCACGCTGCAAACATCGCTCGCTGTCATGGAGGGGTTTGTGTGACAGGTGGAGCGGCTCTACATGTCCGTGTCCCCGTCGTAGGCGAGCGTTAGCGGCTTGAGCCGGTTGTTCTGCTGCCTCTGTCTCTGAGGTCTCTTTGGCTTTTTGCTGGGAGAGAAAGATTGAGACGGGAGTTAAAACGACGAAGCCTCAAACACGACAACAGTCTGACAAAATGTGTCACGCAAATGAGGATGGGAATGAAAAAAAAAAAAAAAAAAGAGGGGGAAGCCACTGATGGGAAGCTAATTTGAAATGTTAAATCCTGACCTCGCCTGCCTTGCAGATGCTCAGTTTTATAGTTTTGCATAAATATCCAACAATTAAAGTTGATCCTCAGATGAGAAAAGATTTTTCCCCACCTTAATTATTGAACTGAAAGCTGAAAAAAGAAGAAAATCAATAATATAGATCACCAATAATACATAACACGTCTTAATAGAGTATTCACTGAACTCCTATCCAGAACCGCACAGCATTCTGGGAGATGTAGGCAGAGCAAAGACTTTAGTCTCAACCTCTGAAGGCCAGCTAAGAAAAGTTGGTGGAATCAACTGACCCACTCACTCGTTGGTTACCTAGCAACTCATTCAGTGGTTACCTAGCAACTCATTCATTGGTGTCTTAGCAACAACCTGTTGAGTAACAGTTCAAGGTTTCCAAACTTTGCTGAGTGAAAGCTGGATAAAACAAGAAAAGTCCTGCCACCAGTTTGTTAGTATTTCAGATATTTAAAACAAAACAAAAAAACTAATCAATAATTATCAATAGACTGATATGAAATTATTGTATTGGGTTAAATTGTTTAGCCAATTCATCATGATAGTTTAGAAATTACATTTTATGAAATCCTGAAACTAGTTGTGTTAAATTGGACATTTAAATGTTATTCTTGGCTAATACAGATTTTTCATGTTTAGAGTTTTGGTAGCTGCATTTCCATTACAAAAGTGTGCAAATTTTTGTCAATTTTCCACTAATGACAACCCCCCACAATTTTGCAATTGTGGCATTTCCACTAAATAATAAAATTAAATAAAAAATCACACATGAATAAGCTTGTCCATGTGATAAGTCACTAAAAATCATGCCAGCGATGGATGTAAACAGTTACATGAGATATATTCATAATTCAGCCTCGGCACTAATCAGCCAATCAGAGGAGACGTCGTTTTATTCAGGAGTTAAGAGAAACAAACTTCTTATACTTGGGAGCGGCGTTTTGGGGAGATTGTAGGCGGCGAAAAGCTATGAATTTAACACGTTAGAATGACAACTTTTTATGAACTGGTGAAGCCAGACAAAAAACAAACCATCTTCCTATCACTTCCTGTCGTCTTCTTTGGCGTTTCTGTCAGTAGTAACAGAAATGTGACTTGTACAAAGCAAAAACAAATTTTCTTTTTTTCCCCAAAATTGGCATTTGTATTAAGCAAATTTACTTTTGTAATTTCAATTTGCACAATTTTCTGGTTAACAGAAAAGCAGCCATTGGCTGACTGGTGATGTACCAAACATATTGTGCATTACTACTTATTACCAGTTGGTCATTCGAATACGGTACTAAAAATCACAAAAAAGGAAGCGTTTATCACCTAAAGTTAATATAAAATTGCCAAAGTAGTGCTGCCAATTCTCTCAAACCTCAAGTTTAGTCAAAGTTGAGACTGATGGATAAACAGGGGAAATAGAGAAATAGAAAGCAAAGTTTAGATCGTGGACGTAAAAAAATAAGAGCATGTTTAAAGGAAATGTGTCAAAATAATTTTTTATTCTAAATTAAATGCAGTTTTATATGTGGTAGGAACTGGCTGACAGGCCTCAGAAGAATCACAAGGATCTACAAAAAGGCTTTAAAGGTATGCAGTTAATTTGCATGCAAAACCTGCACACATGCTACATCTTCTCCCTTTGCCTCCTGGGAGAGAAAGACCTTTAGAGGAGGAGTTAAAGACATGATTCCTGCCATTTATCTGGGCTGTCAGCTCTGCAGGAGTCATCTCAGAGTAATACGGTGTAAATTTATCCTCCAAAGAACAGCTTACAATGACAGAACATATAATATTTAGTTTTCTGTTGCTTGGAATCTTTATTCTGGAGTTTCTTTCAAAACTTTTCTCCAATGTGACGCGACTCATGGCATTTTAAAGAATCTCTCCTCGACTGAAGAGTTTTCTTCTTCTGCAGATAATTAGAAACTGTTTTTAATTTAACTTAAAAAACAAATAGCCAATGTTAGTTAAGTTGAAAGCAATATCAAATAATTAGGGGTGACAAATTCTCATTTTAAAATAATTAAAGCTAACGAACCGTAGATGGTTACGGAAATTGTGACTGCTTTGACAGGAAATTAAAAGTCAGGTGAAATTCTTCATTTGGTCACAAGAGGGCAGGCTGACACCGTGCTTCAGTTACTAGTGGCATCTTTACTGTATGTTGGACAGGTGGCAAATTTAAAAATAGATCTGATGCTAAATGTTAGAGAAACACAAATAGCTTAAATAATGCAGGAGTGTAAAAGATTATTTCAGGCGAAACAATACACAGTCTTCACCGTTTCCAAGGAGATACTGCACTCAGATTATTATGAGGACGTATCTGATGGTGTTTGCTCAGATTTACTCATTTTATTTCAGCTCATATTTTCAAATAATGTTTCTTCAAAATTATGTGTCATCCACACTGGAAAAACTAAAGTACTTTTGGTCTAGTTTCTAGACCAAATGTCTAGGCAAACTTGAAATGAGACAAAACTAATTTACAGGCAACTTTTCAGAAAGATGTGTAAAACATTAAATGTCTTGTTCCAGATTATTAAACGTATGACTTATTAAACTTATTTCACTTATGACTCGTACTTTATCGATATTAAGGAACAACTTCCTATTTCTGGCTAAATCAGACTTTCAATCACCTCCGAAGAGTAAAACCTTACTGGATGTAAGGCATCTGGATTATCTTCATTACTAAACAATTGGAGATTATTAGGATCTACAGTAACTATAATCTGCGTCTAGTCATTGAGAGCTACTATCCCACAACTTTGATAATCGGTTGATTCATGTGTGCTGGAGGAGGGATGCGTCTAAAAGTTGGAGGATATTAGCCTTCGAGGACAGAACACCTGAAGTCTTGACCTTTGTAACTGCGTCTCTTAATCTCTCAGGGCGCCGCCATGACGGATGCTGGGAATGAGGGATGGGAGTGTTGAATGGCTGAAATTGTTTTCATAAGTTGTTTTTGTCGATATAGATGGGTTCCACTTTTACAAGTCAAGCTAATGCTTGTTGAGGTTTGTTGATGGTGACATTAAAAATCAGCCAGCTGAATGATTTATATCACTACGTCATAAAAGGTGTTTCCTCTTAAACTGGAGCAGACATAAAAACGTACTGTCTAGGTATATTCGTACATGCTCGGTTACATGATTACTAATGGTTAGTAATCACGCAGTGTTTAACTGCATCTTACTAAGCTCACTTATTAGTGAGATTTTGCTCTAATTTGTTGGTCTGTGTGCACCGAGCGGTGAATAATGGATAAATAAAACTTGGCTAAACTGGCAAAAACAACTTGGGAAAACAATCCGACGCCCATCATGGCGTCTTGACTGATTTTCGTGACGTAGTTGCAAAGGGTCAACAGGAAGTCTACTGGGTGGCGCTTTCCTCACCTGGACCTTCCCCCAGCCTCTCAGGCAGAACACGGGACACTTTGAGCTCACAGGGAAACTGAGGGACTGCTGGTGCTTATAGTGGAGGGAGAGTCGGGGTGGGTCTGAGCCCTCCGCATCCTCTTTAGCTACTATTGCTCTGAGCCAGCTCTTGGCACTCGGGACACGTGTAAACCATCTCGTGAGAGTTCTGGCCCATCCACACCGCCGTACCGTTGGCGTCAGACTCTTGGGCCTTAAGAGAGCGATGCACCTTGACGCACGCGCTGCTGCTCTCCGACAGCAAACGCATGAGAAAGCAAAAGAAATGGAGATGATATGAAGGAGGGGCATGCTGCAACTCAAGGTGGGAGGGATGAGACGGGTTTCGTTTCAGGACTTGGGTGATGATGAGGATGATGAGGAGGATGACTACGGGGGATCAAACTTATCAACTCACCAAGCTAGGTATATCATAGACACTATGAAAATGAGGAGAACAAAGGCTCCTGCTGCTACACCGTACACCCACATCTTCAGCTTCCCATCTGTGGAGAAGGACGCTGGTCAGTTCTTAATCTCCTACTTTGATGCCACAGATTAAGATTACATCACAATCAGCCAGGTTCGCTCCTGCTGTCAATCACAAATCTGGGAAAACACCATTTATTTCACAACTTTTATAAAAAATGTTTTAAAACTGTCAGCATGTCGTCACAGTATGATACGAGTCAGCAAAATTAGACACTAACTATAAGATACCCTAATTCCAATAATGTTAATAAATTAACCTTTATTTCATTTACACTTATCAATAAGCCACTGAGCCAATAGGAATAATAAATACTTATTACACTGGAACAATCCTAACAAGTCCTGTTAACGTAAATTAGATACTAAGACAGAAAATAAAAAGAAAGTTACAAAAAAATGACTAATAAAATAAAAAATCTTGCTGAATTTTCTGGCATAATTTTGGTGATTCCAACTGAGCAAAAATAAGAAACGTTTAATCTGATTTAACTGCAAACACTGGGGAAAAAAAGTTTTTTATTAGGTGTGTGGAAATTCAATAGTAAGTTAAGGTTTTCATTACCTGTGCAGTTTGAATATCAAGCACTTTCAATGACTTCATAAAAAAATCAATGTATTTTTTTTCTTCTCTGGTATCAGAAAAACAACTTCAAACAAAATGTTTTACTACATTACATTTTTATACTGTATAACCAGGATACATATCAAAGTTATTGGAAGATAAATGTTAAAAAATAAGGATGTTTTACAGCTTTATACTCAGAAAAAACATTAAATTAAGGCCGACAGAGGGAAGAACATAATTTAGCGTAGATGAATTAGTGAATAATTTCCTCCTCTATAATGATATTAAACATTAAAATGTCAGAGCAACCTCATAAATCTGATTATCAATATGATAATCACACAGATTTACTCTTTATGCCTCAGTACATTGTATACACCTGCACATCTCCAATCTGTAGTACTTCTGGTTGCATTTTCATTCATACGATTAAAATAATGAAGAAAACATTTTAATTTACAGAGCAGAAGCAGATCTCAGGCTGTAGTAAATCCCTCTGCTGTGTGATCAAAATCAGATGTTTTTTATTCATATTTAATCCATTAGTGAGCCATTAATTTACTCAGTGAAGCTTGATATCTGGGACTTTCTGTTTCTGTCTCCATAACTGGGCAGCTAAAGGAAGCTGAGGTTAATGTCTGCGAGCTCCTTCATCCTGAAGGTTTCTCTTCCTGCCACAGATGATTTGTCAGGAACATTTGCAGATATATTTCTCTAAAGTTAATGTTGCAGCAGCGGAGGCCATGCGGTAATCGGCTACATTCATGTGTTTATTCATGTTTCAGATTTCACTCATTCACCGCAGGAAGTGTAAACATGTCGACTTCCAGCACCAAGACTCTGAGCCAACTCACATCCTGCTTCGTAAACATGGGATTTTCTCATTTATGTGCCAAGAAGAGAAAATTAGCTTTTCAACAAGACAAAAGCCAAAAAGTTTTACTGCAAGAGGAAGTTATGAACTTTATCATAACGTATTATGATTAACGTTTTGATACCATTTTTCTTGATCAGATGGATTCAAGGATGGATTTCAGTTTATGTAAAATCTATGATTATGTACGGAAAAGATTAGGCCCACTAACCAAAAAAAAAACATTAAAGATATATATTCTTTAAACAAATTTGTGAAAATTTTCTCAGAATTTGTATTTTTTTTCTTTTTTTTTGGAAAAAAAAAAGTATGATTTTTAAGACTTAACCAAGTATAAAATCTCTGAATTAAATTATTTTATCCAGTAATTAAAGCAAAGCGTGTGCCGTTTCTGTGCTGACCTGGTCCGTACGGCTGCAGGTACCAGGTCCGGCCCGTGCGTCCCGGCTGGATGGTGGTGGGCAGCGTGGGGTTAATGGCACGACTGGTCTTTACGTCCCCCTTCTTGTCACCTGCAGTGGGAATCTCCAGAATCGGGATCGGGGTGCACTGGTCCAGCTGACCCGCAGGCGACAGGACCTCTGTGAAGCCCTCCTCGCACATGCACACCCCGGCCTGCAGGGGGCAGTGTGAAGCAAGTTTAGATTCAGTGAGGATGTGGATGAAGGTGGAAACACTTCCATCCAGGGGGGGAAATCTGGATGATTGTCTTACTGTTTGGTCACTTATTTAAATAAAAAGAATCTTGTTTATGTAAATATTCATTTAACACTTAGAAGAACAACAATATAATCCAACTAACACCTGAAATTAAAAATTTACACATAAAATCCAGAGATGGGACTTTCTAGTTTAATCACAATGAAACAAGCAGAGGACTTTTGCAATCTGACCATTTCTGGTTCTAATTATGGAATATTATTTTAGTTTTTAAATCATTACAACTTAATGAGTGGCTCAAGTACAATAAATTATCAATAAACTGGGATGCATCAGAAAAATGTATAAGAAGTCTCCATCTGCATCAGGCCGGTTAATCTGCTGGATGTATATTTGTATTTTCTTCAATTGCTATTGGCGGGTCGCCCAAAGTGCGGTCCGTGCGCCGCACTTTGGACCACCCTGGCTTAAACTGAGCTGAATCTCTCTCAAAGTTCAGGGGGATTTTAAAACATGTTGCTGTTGGATTGGAGAACTGTCTTCATCAGGTTAACGTTGCACCTAGAAGTGAAACTGCTGCTGCAGAGAGACACGGATCAATACGGCGTGTTTTCCAGCTTCTTCCAAGCACGAAAACTGGGACAACCAGAGGATTTTTCTTTGAAATTTTGATCAGAAGAGAAACTTGTTAAATACACAAGTCGATGTGAAGAACGAGGAAAAGTAGCTGGAATAAACTGAGCTCAGCAGAACCCTGTGTGCATGCATAACAGCAGCTGCTTCCATCAAACGTCTGCTGATGGATGTTCAGGTGTTGAAGCTGAAATGTGTTTTATGTAGTGAATAAGTGGAAGTGACCACTGATACCAGCAAAACATATAATTTACAATTAAAATCTCATAAAAGTGATAATGCACTTTACATTTTTTTCACTCTAAAACCAAAAACTAACATTTTTAACTAATGCGTATATTAGTCAAGTCGATATGTTTCGACCCAGTTTTAGCTGTAATAACAGCTGAAGGTTTGCAGCTGAGCCTCACTTCTTTCCTTTGTTTGGATTATTGAACAGTTGACCTTGTAATAATGTGTGGATTAAATTAAACACTTGGAATATGTTCACTAATTGAGAGTCTTGTGAAGGTAACTGGTTGCCCTGGATTTTGTTTACATGCATCATAGCAGAAACCAGCTAAGCCCGGTGGTAGGGGGCGCTGGGCCAGCCCACCAGCTGCTGCACCGTGGTTTGATGTTTTATTGTACATAAACCATATCTTTGTATCACTGTATTAAAAACAATCATTTAAAATGATTAAATAAACGACACTCAGCCTGGAGGCCCGCCAGGCTGATAATACACTAAAGAAAGTCCTTCAGTGTATTATCAGATTAGTTTTTTTTCCCTCTGTAAATAAAATCAGAATTTATCCATTATTCTCTTCCGACTGGTAAAAGCAAATCTGTGTTGGTTAATGATACAAAACTCTCCAAAATGCATTGAAGTTTCTGGTTTTAAAGCGACTAAATGGGAGTGAGAACAATATTCCTACCTTTCTCATTCTAAACTCTCATCTTTCTCCTTTTAGGTTATGATCATTATAACCAGCTTTAATTGCTGGGTTACATTTTTCTATTGAGGACAGAAATATTTTACTTTCTGATTCTGACACTGCACAACAGAGAAACGGGTTTTATCCGTTTGTGCTGCTAACATTTATTTTTCCACTTCATTCAGATTGAATCTCATCTGCAGTGTCGCAGCGAAACAAGGTGACCTGCACCTTCAGATTCTGAATCTGAACATTTTCTTTATTTTGATTTCAGAATGAAAAAGGCTTACCTCGCTGCAGAAAGACTTCGTCATGAGACAGGGAGGGTCACAGGAGCTGTTGTCCACTGGAGGATTCATCGCAGGACAACCACCTGTGGAGTCGGGAGATGAAACGGCTCAGGTGATATTTTTAAACCTTCATTTGGGTCTCAGCTGCTCCCATAAAAAACGCTTTGAGAAACATTAATTTGTTGCCAAAAACAGTGGGGTGGACTTTCTGGTGTTTGGAAATTGAGCCGTTTCAAAAACCTCCTGACTGTTAAGTCACAATCAACGGGGACATTGCCGTTACCTAGCAACCCAGCATGTTTGGTCAGCTGATTTTACCACTGTGTGCTCTGTACAATGGCTGCTGGAAAAGACAAGTGTTTTGTTGTCGACTTACCATCCAGAATCAACTCGGTGTATTCTTGTTGGTTATGCAGGAGGCTCTACTAATGCTTTTCAAACATGTATGGTTGTATAACTGCGCATCTATCTCTTTTGCTCAGACTGAATTGGGCAAAAAATGCTTTCGCTCACTCTGCTCCCTCTTCTAGGAATTTGTTTCAAGAAACTTTTAGACTGACTGAATGCATGTTTAGTGCTTTTAAATCTAAAAGTTCTTGACAATGATTTAGTGACACGTTCCTGTTTCTTTTTTTTAGTTAACATTTGTTGGATTTGTTGCTACCTCTTGGCCACGACTTCCTTAAAGAAGAGTTGTGGGTTTTTCTTTATCCTGGTTAAATAAAGGTTAAATCTGCTGGCAGCCATTTCCACATGAGCGTGTAAAACTTGAGTTAGGGGCGTGGCCAGCAGCAGCTGACAGAGCACTAAAACAGGTCATTCTGAAAGGAGAAAATCTCTTTATCCAAGAATGATTTTGTGTAAAAACGTAATCAACATGTTTCATTATTTCCCATGAACCTGTTAAAGGAAGCAGAATAGGTCACCTTTAATGTCCTTTCATGAAACGGCCTGTAGATTCATCTGCAAATTAAGCAGAGAACATTGCAGCCCTGTTTGTTTTTTAAACAGTTTTAGGTGAGCAACAACAGGCTGATGTATTATTCATGAGATAATAGCTGGCATCACCTACCACCTACATTCCCTGTAGAAACAAACAAAGTCTCCAGTTTCTCTGATTTCTTTTTTTCTGTTGTATTTTTGACATTCTGTGTTAATTTCACCTCCTACGTGAAACTGCCACCAGTGGTTTATACTTGTTGAGCCTTAGAGGTGCTGCAGTTTCTCACCTTTGAAAGATAAATTTGGCAGCACTATCTATTATTCAAAACACTGTATGGAAATACAGCGTCTTCATCTTTTCCAACCAGAATCTCCCCTAAAATACACCAGAGCTCTTTCCCATTTCTTGTCACAGCTCCACTTTCATTTGCTTCACTGTATTCAGAATACACAGGCATGCACAGTCGTTCTCATTGTTTATTGTTGCCGCAAACCTTCAGCTGGAGAGCACAGCGGAAAAAACACGGCACCAGGTACTAACGATGATAAAACACCAGATCTGAAAGGGGACGTGAGGAACATCTGGTTTCTCTCGACACCTGCTGGATTTCTTCTGTTCACTTTAATCAGAACGCAGTTTAGCTCCACTGAAATTATTACTCTACCGTTAAAAATTTAATTTACTGGAGGTCACTTGTGGAGCGTCGGTACAAAACAAACTTTGGGGTTATGCAGAAAAACTAAGTTCAGTTAATTGTCCAGTCGCTTGTTACATTTTGGACTCAGGTGAGCACACTTCTGCTAATGTGCTAGTAGCAGAGCTAATGTTTTGTTTAGCTCGTTAGCTAACTTTGACAGCATTTAGCCCGCTAGCTTTCCCTAAATTATTTTTCTGGATAAATTCAGAAGTTTTGTGAACTTTTAGTTGTGTTTTGTTTATTAACTGTTAATCCTATTAGTATTAGTTAGACCTTTATCTTCCTGCTCTTATTTTGAAGGGGGTGAAAATAGCAATCCTGTTTGCTCTCTAATTTCTTTTCCCAGTAACTACTTCAAACAATATACAGAAACTAAATAAAACATTAATTGGTTTCTCTAAATTGTCCCTAGGTGTGTGTGTGTGCATGGTTGTTTGTCCTGTCTGTCTCTGTGTTGCCCTGCGTCAGACTGGCGACCTGTCCAGGGTGGACCTCCCAACCCCACTAGGGACAAGGGTGTACAGAGAATGAATGAATGAATGAATGAATGAATGGATGGATGGATGGATGGATGAATAACAGAACATGCAAATTATTATGTCAAAATTAAATTGATGTTTAAAAGGCAGAATCAGATTAAAATTAATATTGAGCATATTTTTTTTTTTACAGATTCAGCTTTCTGTGTGACAAACATTTGAATGATTTTTATATTTTGTATAATTACTAAAACATTTTATATTTTATAATGTCAGCACTCAAGGAACCAATGTTTTGAGGTACCTGTATGTTTACTTAATTGAAACAGCCAACTTTGTTTAAGGCATTGTTTGTTGGTGAAAGGCAATAATAATAAAAGTGCATTGATGCCACACTTTTTTTATAGCACATTTCAGCAGCAAGGCATTTCAAGGTTCCTTACATAATTAAAAAACAAAATAAAAACAGCATGTGACATTGAATAAACAGTAAGAAAGAGAACGAGATTCTGGGAAAAAAAGTTTTTGATAAAACTGAGTGTACTGAAGGAAGTGATGAATTTGAATGCTATAAAATGTTTATTCTGTTGCCCCAGTGTGTTGCAGGCTGAATGTTTCTAAATGTGTGAAACCTGGACTTTGTTACCGGTGACGTTGAGCCCATCCGAGCGCTGACACCAAACAGCCGGACGGCTGGAGTTCGGACGGCCGCTGCTGAACCACTTATACTCGAAACATTCGCCTCCTGCAAACAAAACACAGAATAAGTCACCATCTTTAAAACCGCAGCGCAGTTACAGTCTGGAGTGAAGACCATTAATCATAAGTGTGACAGATTAATAAAGCAGCCGCTCAGTTATTTTCACATAATAAGTAGCTGTCACATATTGTCCAGTTCAAGGTTTTAATCTTCACTGAGAGCTTCTGCTTAATGACTTTCTATCAATGCTATTATAACTTTATCAATATCTCCATCTAGGCAGTAAATGACTGTATTTCCCTCTGGAGTCCAGAGTAACCAATCATCATCGCAGCCAATTTAGTGGCGTAAATGAACAGTTTAACTTTGAACAAAAGAAAGATCTGCTGTGTGCAGGCCTCGCTGCTCCAGTCGGCGGCTCGGCTCCAGCTCTGCCTTTCACAGGACGATTTGTCTAAAACCGACACAACTTCATCCTTAATGCACTTCACTTTCCTCATTTCTCCAATTTTTCTCCTTCCTCTACAGATGAAGTCGTTTTTCAGACGTGTGAAGTTATCACCGATTTACTCACTTCCCAGCACCTTTCACCAACAGATTGGAGTTTTTCTGAGACAAGAACATTCCTCAAAACGAAGAGCGCGCAGCAGTGAAAACGTGAGTGAGGTGGCTGGAGTCAAGAAAAGCTCTTAAAGGGCAGAGAAACATGAAAGATGGTGATTTTGAGTGACAAACGATTTGTTACAGTTTAAAATCCCAACCTGCGGTCCTTCTGCATGGAGTCCGCAGGATTCCCCCTGTACATGCCTCCAGGTACTCAGGCTTCCTCCAGTCTAAAACATTATTCTTAGGTTAACTGTAAGGCATTATCGGGATACATTTCTTGTCACGATAAGAATTTAGATTTATTGTTGCCACGATAAATTATATTAATGATGTTTAAAATCCTCCAAAGCTTTCCTTATTGTCAGGATTGATGGTTTTACTGTCTTATCCACTGTTTGTTAAAGGAAGCATCAATAAATACCAATACATTTTAAAATACCGTTTCTGTCTGAACTTATTGATGGTGCCCTAAGAAAGCTTATTACCAATTATGCTTGAATGTTTTTCAAGAGCATTATTTGTGTTCTTTACAGTCAGAGTTACCTAAAAGATGTAAGAAATAGTTTATTTTATCTTTATCACAATAGTCCTGCAAAATATTGATAAAACTTTAAATCCATATGGATTAATTACTGCTCTAAATATGTTCTTCTTTCAGCAAATGACCTTTTCTTGACTCTGTATACTCACAATTAATCAATTATTTAAATAGTGGATGATTATTTTAATCAATTAATCACAATAAATCTGATTAATCGCTAATTGTTTACTCTAAATTGTCCTTAGATACGAGTTTCTCCATGTGTTTCTCTTTTCAGATTATCTGTCTTACTGTCACGACTTAACTAGAATTTAACAAAATGTCAAAAGCATTTTTTCTTTATAAAAGTTACATAGTGCAGCTTCTTTAGCTTGTTGTCGCTGAACCATCTGAAGTTTTTATATTTCTTCCAGCTGTGAGGAGCTTTTTCTGCTGTGTGGACGCAGTGAAAACACTGATCTGCTATTCTTGTTATGCTGCAGAGGCAAACCGTGGAAGAAATTAATACGGTAAAAGTATCCAAATGGGACAAAACTTTGCTTCTGCTTTTCTTAAGTGAGCATCCCATCAAACCACTTTTTCCCTCCTTTTTCCCCCCCACTCATCTTGGCAGGGGCTCTCCTCCCCCCTGTGGGCACTGAGTGATGCTGTGAAATCAGGTCAGGATGGCGGAGGCTGCTTTGGAGCTGTGTACAGTAGCCAAGGAGGGAAGTGTGGAGGAGTGAGATGCCAGGGTGGGGGAGTGGGTTTCGTTCTGCAGACCTAACCTATGGCAGCTGATGATTCACAGCTCATCAACACCAGGCAGCAGCGAGCACAACAGTATTTCCTCAATTTGGAGATCTCATGCAAAAAGTCCCATCTGGAAACCACCAGTTAACCCACCTAGCAGAAGGAAAACAAGGTGAAAGCGTTTCCATTTGCCCCGGTCATATCTGGGGCAAAGTACCAAAAGCTGCACTCCAGGATAGCACTGCTGCCTCCCGGCGAGGAAAAAAAACCTCAGCCTGAATCCAGTCTTGAGCACAAAATGAAAATGTTTTTTTTTCCTGTTGGCTTCTTCTGGTGTCCCAGATTCCTCCAACATGCAGGTTCAGAGAGAAAGAAGAGAGAATGGCCTGCAGGTGTAACCCTGAATCTCAGTATCTCTTTGCGTTGGTCCTCTAATGCATCAACAAACTTCAACATGCGACTGACTTCAACTCAACAACAGAAAGGAACAGCTGAAGATGCCCAGCGACTTCAAAACTTGACTGTTTTCTTATCACATAAGTTGTGAATCGAGCGAAACCTTTTTTCATTAGTGGCCACCGCTACCTGCATTAGCAGGCTTTAAAGGTGGCATATTATGCTTCCTAGGACACGTTAGGATACGTCTATGGACTAAAAACATGGTCATTACAATTTTTGCGTAAAATCATTCTTAGATGATGAGATTTAAGCCTGCTCAGTTCTGCCTGTTTTGGGATCCTTTCACTTTAAATCGAAATAATCTGCTGCTGGCCACGCCCCCAACTCAACGTTTGCACTCGCACGTGAAACTGGCTGCAAATTATAGAACAATACATCTTTGAAAAGCAGAGCCAACAAGAATACAGCAAATGGTTTCTAAATGGTAAGTCAGCAATTAAACACTTTTCTTTTCCAGCAGTCGCTTGGGTTGCCAGGTGACGGGCGGAACTTGGCTGAGGTTGCTAGGTAACGGGCTGAGGTTGCTAGGTAACGGGCTGAGGTTGCTAATTTCTGATGTTACATTCCCATGATTTTTCAAACAGCTCAACTTTCAGACACCAGAAAATATGATTTTTTTTTGTTAAGACAGCCAGTTGTTTTTTAAACCTGGGCTGTTTTTAGAAGCAGTAGAAACACAATGGAAGCACAAAAACATGAAAAATGTTACTTTTATGTGAGCTTTAAAGAAAGCTCACAACAATTAATTAGCTTCCAGTAAATTAGACAGTTTTATTTATGTGGAAAATGTAAAAGCACATGTACCTAATAATGTAAATAAACAGACAACAAAAGATATTACTCCCAGTGATCCAACTGATAGATCTGGCTATATACGGTTTTTCTATATGCAGTGCTTTGAATAAGTATCCAGACCATTTAGGCTCTTTCATAGAGTCACATTGTGACCAGAAGTTTTAAGATATTGCATATTATTACATACTTGTCAGGGGAAAGACAAATACATGTTTCTTTCAAAAGCAAAAAACAGCTCAGTCAAATTGTAAAGAGATCAACCAGTTCTACTGAGAGTTATGAGCGTTTTTACAGAAAAGTTACATTTCAATAAAATCAAAATACTTTGGATTTGCTAAAGTATGTAATTTCAGACATAAACTGGAAAATTAGAAGCTGAATACAAATGCTAATCATACCGTTCAATTATTTACTAGAAAATGTTGAGAAGCACATGTTTTCCTTACACTTATGTTGGTTAGTTGCATAAAATAAAACACATTAATCTTGCAGCTGTATTGTGACAAAATAGGGAAGTGCTTTCTGATGGGATGAAGTTCACAATTGCAGAGTGTAAAAAAGGTAGTAAAACATTTATTTTATCCATTTATAGCACCTCTGACTCAGTTATTTCATTGCCAAAGACTGACGGGATCAGATCTGACCCTCCGGTCAAAAGGCTGCATAACTGAGCATGTTCAGCAGATCCATGGCTACATTTAGAAAGCCACAGGTTTTTCCTGTACCTCTCAAGCCTTGTGACCAGCGTAGAGAAAAGGAGTTGTACCTGTGCAGGGCTGCGACTCCCAAGCCTGGTCTGGGCACAGCTGCAGGTTTTCAGGCTCCTGGGCCAGGACGGCTCGGGACCGGACCTGAACGGAGCCGAAGTCCACGCCGGCTCCTTTCACACAGATGTTGACACATGAGCTCCAGTCAGACCACTCCATCAGGTAGCATTCGCCTGCACAACCAGAGAGACAGTAAGCTGAAAACAAATACAAGAACTTACCTCGACACTTCTGACTTACAGCATGTAGGAAATTATTATGTTTGGGTTTCAGTAGGACTGGGCAATAAATCAATAATATATACATTAGAATGTTCAACATATTGAATATTCACTGAACTCCGATCCAGAACCGCACAGCATTCTGGGAGATGTAGGCAGATGAAAGACTAACCTCTCAACCTCTGAAGATGAGCTAAGAAAAGTTGGTAGAATCAACTCATTCTCTTACTCTTTGGTTGCCTAGCAACTCACTCACTCTTTGGTTACCTAGCAACAACCTGCTGAGAAACTGGCACAGCAGCAGTTTAAGGTTTCTCTACTGCGTCTTATAGCTGCTTAAAAATAAAAAACAAAAGCTTGGAGTAGAAAATTATGGACAAAAGAGGAACAGTCCAAGTTTTGGTTTGAGGACATTAAATTCCTTATTGGTCTCATATTTTCGAGAGCCATGTTGTCTGAGATCGTCAGTGCTGAACCTAATCTTTTATTTATTGTATTTAATACCCAAGTTTTCATCAGGCAGGTATTCATAAAGCAATAATTGAGACTAAAAAGCATTTGGCTGTTATTTCTTCAGAATCAGACAGTGCCTGATTGTTCTAAATTACTAATTTTTGTAATTAATTGCCTTTGGCATTTATTAATAGTTATTCACAGCCATTCCAAACCTTTTGTTGCAAAACAAATATGTTTATCAGCCTAGTAGTAATAAATTATATATTTTAGACGCATTTATTCTCTCACTTTGATCACTTGATGCATAAAATGGTGGGGAGTAATGACGGTGTGTTAAAGCACAGTGTGTGTGTGACCACAAAAAACTTCTGTTGTATTTGAGAACTGAAACAACAAACGGCCCAAAGATTAAAACAAATTCAGAAAAAAAGAAGTGCAAAATGTGTATTTACATTTCCTCCAAGGTGTTTTTATTAAAATTGTTCATCTCTTCCACATCTCTCTGAGATACATTGGTTGAAGTCAAATATTTCTGCAGTACAGCTTTGGTGTAGGTGTCCACCATTAAAAAACCGTTTCAGTTTTGTCAAAGCAACACTTTGTTTCCACAAGTTAATAACATGGGATTCGTCTGGCTGTTTATTGGGCTTCTTCATTCCTAGTTGTTAGTTTAAAGATGTCTGACTGGTCCATATATTGTCGAAATGCTTTTCTGAAACCTGTTGTCCAACTTCAGACTTACTGCCATTTATGTCCAAGGTTCTGGAGAAAGTTGCTTATGTCCAACTGCAGACTTATCTTGATCTAAATGAAATTGGTGAAAAAATTCAGTCTGGTTTTAAAATGCGGCACAGCACTGAAACTGCCCTTTTAAAAGCTATAAATCATCTGCTTTTAACATTTGATTTGGAAAATCAGCAGTTATTTTACTTTAGATTTTAAAAACGTAATATTGGTACCTCACTGATTCAAATTTATTTTTGTAAATCGCTGTAGCTGAAATTAAGTATGTTGGTTTTTATTCATGTTAGTTTTTGGTATTCTCTGCAAATGTTATAGCTGTCTTTTTATTTTCATTCATTGATTTATTCATTCATTTTTATCATTGATCTGATGTTATGAGTCACTTCTGTCGGCTGAGGCTGCTGTAGATGTTTTATATAAATAAACTTTGACTTGACATCTGCAGCTCATCAAACGCTGGGGGAAGCAGGACATGGGTTGATGCATCAACGTGCAAAGAAACTGTATTTGTGTGTTTTCTTTAGTTCCCAGACTAACCCCCAGCTTTGCTCTAAAAAACAAAGGAGCTCCATTTTCTTTCACCCTGATTCACAATCCTCATGTAGAAATCCTTCTAAGTTTTAGATTGCAGTTTGATACTTCAGCACTCCTGCAGTTTGCCTGCGAAGGGACGGACTCGCTTGTTATCTAGGGCAGCTTCTCAGCGTTTTCCATCTCTGGGAGCAGTAGTTATATTTTTTTTTAAACCAAAATTAGAAATTCATCAGTGGAAACACTCCTAGCGCATAAAAAATAAAATTATTTCAAACAGAGGTGGTTTTAAATGAGCTGTGGGTTGAATAAAGGATAACTTGTTTTCCCTTCTGCATGACAAACAATGAGTTCTGACCTAAAATAGACCCACGACACTTTGAAAGAGAACTCAGCATTTGTACTTTGTCTTTTGGCAGAAGCAAAGAAGAATAATCCTTCCTTCAGGGACTGCTGACACTGAAAATAACAGCTCTATAGTTAAGCAGCACTATGTGAAAACACTGTTTTTATCCAGCTGGGTCATAAACTAGGGGATAAATTCCTTTCTTGTCGTTTAGAAATGTTGCAGATTTGGCCCATTTAGCAAAAAGAAACATCTCCTTCTCCATCAGCAGCAGTTTTTGGGTGCAGTCACTGGAAATAAAGAGCGATGTTGAGGTTGTGAAAAGTGAATCACTGCATGGAGTAGAAAAGTCCTGAATGAGATTTAATTAGATTTAAGGATTTTTAGGATCTGGAAGAACATGGGTAAGAAAAAGCACTGAGATATGTATGCATCTCCAGACTTTATTTTCAATATTTCTCATCAGTCTATGCATCCATCAATTCTCAACATAATACATCTGCATGGTCAAATATCTGCCACCAGTTCATTCATCCAGGTCTTAAATCCAACCAACCATGTTGCAGTCCATTAATCCAAAGATCCGACCTTCAGTCAGTCCTTCTGTCCATCCAGCCTTTCTCTGTTTCACATGTGAAATCTTACAATTGTTAAAACGTCTACCATAAATTTAAAGTATTAAAGAAATGTTTGTATTCATACTTAAAAAGTTGTCTGACATGGCTGAATTTTTATTTTTTTATATTTAATTTAACTGCAGAATTTTGACATTTTGTGAACATGAGGAACAAGTTTAATGAGATGGCAAGTTGCATTTAGTAAATAAATTATGTGAAATGAGTTTTTACACATTTTCTTCTTAACCAATTAATAAAAATATATAATTTTTTTTAATGTAGGAAGTTTTAATATAAGTGTGTAAAAATGCTAAGTTATATATAAAAAATTCCCCTCTCCCCCTCCGTGGGTGGTCTCTTTCATCCTCTGAGCTCGGGTCCTCTACCAGAGGCCTGG